TTTCAGAACGTTAACAATTTACTGGCGAAGTTCATACTTATTTTCATGCCTTTGTTTTTATAATTTACTACGGATAACTCTTTTCTACAAGGTCCCTAAAAATTAATGTAATTTTTCATTTAAGTTATCTTACTTTTTGAAAACGATCTATTGAACTGCTGGTCAATATACTGCGATCTATTGGACCGCAACGTATTTCGGAAAAACCGATCTGGGTTTCGAATTTATATGTAACATTGAACAGACGTCAGTGGTAAACAATAATTTGAAACAAGTAATAGCTTTTCAAAAAGCTTGCCTGACTAATCAATCAATATCTATGGAACGTATAAGCAAGAGAGGTGCTATAAACGTTTCCGTCATCAAGGAACGACATAGTTGCGATACTTCATTACACAAGATGTACAATTGACTTTCTCAAATCTCATAACCAAATACTGCAGATTAACGAATATATATGACATGCCACTATTCAATCATTTATTAGTTAGCCCACGGCCTGACAAGTTTCGTTGGGATGAAACTCTAACTTTAAGTGCGATAGCGTAGATTATAATTTTGGGGAAAATAGTTAGATGATTTTTAAAGAAATTCATATTACATGTACTCTCTTACTAGAGGGCGCACTTCTCTGGTCAGTGATAGATTGATGAGGTGGCCTCTTTTTATAGACTGGTCTGTCTTCCGTCGTTCTCGACGTCGAAGTAAATTATGAACAGTTTTAACTGCCTTTTCTTGAAGTGTTTGAGACAAAAATGCTCCAATGCTGCTCTAGAACTCAAAGTAAATGGACTGTACACTTTATAGCTAGAGCAAAACAAGATACTAATAATACACCCCCCCCCCCCGGACGAAACTCATATACATGTACATGTATTATAAATGAGTTTAAAAATACATCTTTATGTGCAGTTTTAAAATTGTTTAGTTTTTCTTTTTAATCGATTTCAGTATACCTTTTTCATAATTATAATAACGTGCTTTTATATGAAATGAAAACTAGTACAGATCATGATGTCTTCTTCATTTTGCCGATTCTTTGCTTAGAACCTTACGGGAGTTAAGCCCATTCCTTTATGGGTACTGACCTACTATTGTCACTATCCTTGTTCATCACAAAGCATGAAATGATATTCTACTGGCTTTCTAAGCTTTTTTAAAAACTTAACCTTGTAACGTACATTATTAATAAATGTAATATTGAAAGTAAAGGTGGGAAACAGACTGAATCAAGAAGGGATGTCCCATTTACTAGGTGGAGGGAGTTTGTTTATGATTGGACTAGTTCACTTATGGGATAAATAGTAAGAATAATCAGCAAATCCATTGCTTTAGTGTTGCCTGCCCATATACAATGTGTTCTTTTAAAAATGAGATAAAATTTACAGTTAATAAAAAATCTGAAGCTTAAGAATCAGGTTAAAAGAATAAACGTTATTTATTTCCATAGAAGTTATCACAACCATATTCAATAGAACAATCCAAGAAAAAGGCGCGAAGATAACTTACATGTGACATTTGGCGCGAAATGACTGTGTCACCCCTTTTGTATAAGGCAAATGGACTGATCCAGTAGTTTAGAAACGCAGAAAAAATGTTACACGGACATGCCCGTACAAAGAATAAACATGTGCATGCCAAAAAACTGAAGGAATTGAACATATCATTATTTTGCATCAGTAATACGATTATTTCTTCAGCAAACTGTATTTGTTTAAATGCAGGTAACAAATTCCAGTGTAAATCAGCTTCCAGAAAATCTAGTTCATTAAGAATGATCGCTTAGTTTCGGATCTTGAAAATATTAATCCTTATACTGCCTGACGCACGTGGCGTCAGGCAACAATGCTCGGCTGTTGGCCCCGGGCAATAGAACACACTGAGGCACAGCTGCTCTGTGCACCTCGGGAAAAATATTCTGGTCTATTGACTGCTCAGGCATTAAATAATTGTATAGCATAGGCGTCAAAAGCAAATTATAGCGAGGGGCTAATTGAAAGTGGGGGGGGGGGGGGGGTTAAATCTTAAAAAAAAAGTAAGCTTCAATTTTCAATTCTAATGCCTATATTATGTATACCTTAGCAAAAAAGAGGGGGTTAACCCCCCTACCCCCCTCCCGGTTCCGACGCCTATTTATAGTGTGGACCGAGGCACTTCCTGGTATCGAAGATGTCGAGTGTCATCCCTTTTTTTATGTACATTGAAATATGATTTTTTTTAAAAAAAACTGGATTTCAGCGATTTCCGATTTTTAATATAATTAGTGAATTTAAACACTCAATACACAAAATACACTATCCCGAAACGAAGCCTCTTTTACTAGAAGCAATGTATCTCTATAATATAAGTTACTAAGCAAAATGATCGAGTGCGAGTAGTTTCTTGGTGGAAAACTTTACATTGATTAAGAACCGCTGTGTTTATGTCTTACAAAACAAATATCTGCATGGTCAGATGCTTAAGACTTGTTTGTAAGTGGCAGATCTTTCTTACCCCAACATCATGACCCAACCTTTTGTTTTAAAATAAATTTTAGAGACATTTTATGTCATTAATGATCTATTTTTTAATTAGTTTATATAACTCAATATTTAGGTATATGTGATATAATTGTGGGTCATTAATTTGTATACATATATATATAATGTTGCGGGATCAATGTACAGTACGAGTATATTGTTGTGGGATAGTATATAAGTATAAAGATATACGTATATATCCAAAAAAGTGAAAGAACATTGTTGGATATATACTGGGTTTAGGCAGTTTACGCTTTATAAACCGCGAAGTGGTCACCTTTTCAAACCATCAGGGACCATTCAATGACTGAATGGCAGAGGTTCATCCCGTGGGAGGATGAAAGCAAATACTCGAGACTATTTAGCGAGTAAAATGGTTAGAGATTGTCCTATTTTGAATTACTTGTTTTATTCAATACGTTTTTGACGTAAATTTTTTTTTGTTCCCAAATCTTTTATCTCTTTCTCTCACATAAATGTGTTAATATTATAAACACATATATTACATAAATATATCTATATATCTATATCAAGGTTCTACATGTACATGTAATGCATGTATCGGATAATTATGGGTCATTTATATGTACATATATACAGGTAACTCTCGAAACCTCGAAGTCCGCGGGACCGAGGAAAAACTTCGAGAGATCAAGAGTTCGAGCTTTCAAGAGTCCGGAATTTTCCGGGTTTGTTGCAGGTTTTAAAATTAGTCTTACCGGATGTAATGATTTTCATGCAGTGCTAACCTTTTACACGTGGTATTTATAAAACAACGATATTTTTTTCGTATTTCAGATGAATATTTCATTAAACTGAGTAAAGCAAAATGTATATCTTCATATCATGTATATTTATTTATTCTTTATAATACGGACATCATACTACGCATTCGTTACATGAGAACGACATTTTACAGCGTAGTACGTAGCACTGACTATTCCAAACATGAACATTGAACGCAGTTCTGTAAGTATTTATCCAATACTAGTCGTCATATTGACATTGAGGCTGTTTCTGCTTTTTTCATATTTCGTTTAACTTTGACACTGACTCGAAATAAAAATCAAATTAGTGTTTTGTCTTTTAATAAATTACCACTTTTCAAAGGCACTGCGTCTCTAAATTATCGTAAGACAGTCGATGATAATTATTTTAATAGCATATAGGCAAAATATGATTCATTATAAATCAATTATCACCTTGCAGCATAAGTGTCACCTGAATAAACATCCTCTTCCTCGAGACCCGCGTCTTCTGCCTGGGGCCATTTAAATGTCCGGGTAAAGGAGCTAATTATATAATCTTGTATACACATAGCCACTTCGAGGTATCGAGGGTAAATCCTAATAGAATATGCATAGCGGGACTGCATTTTGACTTCGAGGGATCAAGGGTTTCGAGAGATCAAGAGTTCGAGAAATCAAGAGTAAATTTGCTTAGTTATATAGTGGAAAAATTCGGGACCGGAGACTCACTTCGAGCGATCAAGAACTTCGAGAGATCGAAGTTCGAGCCATCAAGAGTTACCTGTATATAGATATAGAATATTGCGGGATCAAATTACAGGCAACTATACATCATTCTGGGTCAATATATTGATATAAAGAACATCGTGGGATATGTACAGTTGTACTTGTCTATCTATAAAATGTTAAAATCACATTGATTTGATTACACTTCCCTAAAATCTTAACGCGTGATAATTTTTTTCTGAATAATCCTTGAGTTGTGAATGATTTTCTGCGACTTCATACTGACATATTTCTTTATTACTTAAACTTCACGGTTCACATCAGGGTAACGCGCCTTCTCTATAGTAACATTTTAAAGTCATTTTATCTTATAAAATGATATACTTGAAGCTTTCTTTCATATCTGAATAATTATATAGACTTTAGGAAGAACACAACTATAGAACGATTAAAACTTATAAAATTATTTAACCTTATTTTTTCTAGATTTATACAATGTAGTACATAGTACATTAAAAACAAAAGCTCATGCATGGCATGACATACATGTAAATAAATAATGCGTTACAATCTGATAATGATTCACTACAATTAGGCTATACAATCTAGCTGTTTCCCATAATCCCTCCAATACTCATGGGGAAGTATATAAAAAATTGTGGGTCACGCGCGAAATTCTGCCAATCCACAGAGTGGTAAGATTTCATATATATATAATTGCATTGTGGGTCATTTTTTGAGTGTGTAATTATGGGTCAAAAAAATTTTTTTTGTAAAAAATGAAAATAGTAACTATATTATTGTCATAAACAAATTTTTAGGCACATGGTTTGTGGGTCAATATATAATGACCCATAAACCATCCATGATACCCACAACGTGAGTGAAAAAGACACAAAATATCCCACAATCCGCATGGCACAAAACTATATATATATATATATATATATATATATATATACACACACACACACACACACAAATACTCTAGTCATTACATACTTACTATATGTACAACCAGTTTTCACTTCTCATACTGTGTATCCGCCCTTCTTGAACTTTGGGTACACAATGTTGTACTGTGGTTGTCCATCTTTTGTTACTGCTTGATCTCTCATCCCATTTTCATTGTAATGGAGGGCAGCAAATTTTAACCTGAGATTATATAAATAAATACTTTTTTTTGTTTATCCTCAAGTTATTTTTTTTAGTGATTGAGTTTAGTGTTTTCACATTTCTTTTACCTGCTTAACATTCCATGGTAGGAAAACCCAAACATCTTTGGTGCAAAATGATTAATGACAGAATGAAATCCAGGTTGGGCTCCTGGAGAAAGTTTCGGAATGTCTTTCTGCATTTCTTTTGACATCACAAGCTCCTCTAATTTAACACATGCTTTGCTTCCTTAAAAATAATTTGCAAATTAGTTAATTTTTTTTATTTTGTATTTTCTAATTAAAAGTTTAGCTTTAGTAACATTTGCCTTTTTTCAACCATTTCTTTTCTCTCTCGCGTCCCTCTAGGGGTCCATGGTCACAAGACTGAAAAATATCTCCATCATGTTCATGAATGTTTTGCACATGATTGCAGACAGATTGCCACTTCTCCAGCATCAATTGCCCGTGACCACTTGGGGTTGATTCTGGAACCCAGTAGAGATGATTGCAAAGGCTCTTTATCCAAGGTTGCAGGGACTCGCAATCCTTGAGCTTGGAAAGAGCTGTAGTTTCTTCTTAATACCTACAGGTGTAAAACATAATCATTTTCTACCTGGTAAATAACTCTAATGTTTTTTTTTCTATTTCATTGTATTCGAATATAATATTTCTCTAAAAATGAACTGCGTGGATTATTTTGAACTCATACCTTTAGCAACATGCCACACATCATAGTTATGTGTTGTGTGAGGCATGTTTTCTCTGACATGTTTTTGTATCTGAAGATGTCGGTCAGTTATAATTTTCTCTATTTTGAGGCCTTTGCTTTCAATGTTATTAATACTGCGTATAAATCCTTCCTTCTCCATATGATAGCTTCCTTGAACTTCATTGCTCTACAAAAAATTCTATTGCTGCAGGAAAAATTCGAATTTCAAATTGAAAGTTAAAATAATTGCAGAATTCTTTATTAGAATTTTTAAAACAAAAATCAAACCTGAACAAGTTGAATATCTATGACAAGCATTAGATCCATGTCTAGCATAGCATACCTGCCATATTTAGCCGAATGCCCAGGTAGTGTCAGCTCTACCATCTCCACCTATAATTAAGGGATTTCCTTGTTGGGTCTTTTGATTAAAATAATTATTCTGAAAATCCTTCCATATTGTCGAAACAGCTGGATGGAGATAGTATTTCTGGTGTTGGTGGAAGGTACTTAATGCTATGGCAGCAACATTCATATGTTCCAAGAAACGAAGCGCTTTGCTTTGTATAAGGCCTACCATAAGAGATATGATAATACATTCATTGGTAAAACATTTGTATTTAGCATAATAAAAATACATATTGTGCAAGCTAATTAAAAAGTACCTTAAAACAATATGGCTGCTGACATGGATAAATTCCATGACGGTAAAGATCCAATCATTTCTTGGCTGTTCCAAGTTCTTTGAAATCCACATATACCACAACACTGGTCAATCTTGATCATTGGGCCTGAAACTGGTCTTACTTGGCAAAGTGTGGCAGATGTACAAGTTAGACAGATTGAAAACAACTGTATCGATTGCGACTCAGATACGATGTATTTCCTGTCCATTTTTTTGTATGAATTATCATCACTACAAATGAAAGTTTGTTTTTGTATTAATTCATGTATATTTGTTTGTCCGAAATTGTACTTTATTTGGAAAAAAAAAATCTGATAAATATTTTAACTAACTGGTCAGACCCATCATCTGAAGAAATTTCAGTGGATAGAAATTCTTCAGCTGACTCTGGACAGTAGTCTGTGTCGTTGTCTTTGTCTTCATTTTCATCCTAACTGGAGGGAACATAAAGATCATCTTACTCATCCGTGCTCATACTTATCACTCTGCATGGTTTAGAATTATCTAAAAATAATATAGCGATGAATATTTAGGTTGTTGATTGTTCATATATAATATAAAATGAGAACTTTTTTTTTTCTAAAATCTTTATTCACCTCTCACTTCCTCAAGATATCTATTACACTGAACTCCAATACTGCAAACCTTCGGTATATAACTTGGAAAGTCACACTGCACAGCTGTGTAAGGAATAAGAGAAATACTTGTAATTGCAGTCTAATGGTATCTATGCACAACAAATCATAAATGTACTCACCCTTCTCACAATGTTTACTTTTTTTGTATTTTCTTGGACCTTTGATGGGGTTTCCGCCCTGTACACTGCACTCCTACAGAGCATGCTGCCTGTCAAGACATTATTTATTTTTTTAAAAAAGGTTAACAATTTAATAGGTTATTAATTTTTGTAGATAAAAAAATGATAAAAACCTCATTTGAATTTAATCCATCCTCTACGTTCTCCGCAAGTTCTTGTGTCTCCAAATTCTTTTTTTTTTCAGTGTTATGTGTGCTATTGCCCAGTTACTAAAACAGGAATTTATAATAATCATATGCTAAGTCTAGATCTTTTGTTTGCATATATTGCTATATTAATTATTCCTTGATAAACATTATTTATTCTCCAAAAAGAAATTATGCAATACCCGTAAACATTCCCTTTTCCTAAATGCTCCTCTTAGTGGTGTTGATGCAGCCAACGGTACACCTAGGTTGGGCACGTGTGTGACATCCATTTTGCTGGCATCGTGAATGGGGGCGTCTGAGGACGTCGCTGTATTAGGCAAATGAACGGTGGGCACAGCATCAGGTAGCAGACGTTTCTTCTTTATCTCAAAACCTAGAGACTGTTTGATTCTGTATTCCTCTGGGTAGCAATTTGGTGCAAAATGACGTTCACATAAGACTGAAAACCTCTTGGGCTGAGCGAAGTCTTGACGCTTTGTTTTTACAAAATTTATCCATTTTACGTTTTATTTCCTTTGGAAATTCGTGAAGTGAAATATTATCGGCATTATTTGACGTACAGCCCGCTGCTACACAATACTTGCCAGTTCTTTTCTTTTCTTTCGGCATGCCTAAGCTCTTTGTTTACCTTAGAGTCACTAATGTGACGTCACATCCGGAAATTCGTATTTTTAGACTTCGCGTTCAGGTGTGTAAAAATAGATTTTCAACGAGAACTTACCTATGCATTGGTGTTTTTACTTGAGTAAGATATCAAATTAATCAGCAAATCATTGGTTATTTGATAATGCTAATTTTGATACACGATGGATAAGTTCTTTAAACACATCTGTTTTTATACCTCTCCTTCTCGAATTAACAGCCTGGCTAATTGTTGTACTAAACCTTCTCTGTCGCCTCTACTCATACTATTTCTACTTCAGATTCTAAATTGTCTTGTTTGTGTGTGACATCAAGTTTAGTTACTTATTGATGTATCTAGTGACATCACATCTTGCAGTGCAGAACAGTGCTGATATGAAATAGACAAACCCATTTTACCCTAAGAGTAACTTTCTTGATTGCTGACATTTTCGCATTGACAATTTTCTTTCCAATTCAATAATTGGATTTATATATATTTTTTTTTACTTAATAATGGCGACTAAAAATATGAATTTTAAGTTTTACTTAAAATATTTTATGTACATTGGACTGCACTGCGTATAGAAAGAGTTATCGCGCTTGCATTATCCTTGGAAGTTTTTGGCGTTGCAAAATTAGGAGAGGCAAACGCAAGTGATTCTTGGAAATGAAAACATTCGATAAATGCCCAATGGAAATCGTGCGCGGGAAAAATCTTGACACGGTCGTTTAGAGAGCGTCGCTTTTCAGTTTCTTTCAGGACGCCGTGAAAAGCACATGTGTCTTGGATAGCTTCAAATTATTTTAAGCGATAAGGTACCACATTTTTTTCCCCATACAATTTTATTGTTTTATTTTACTAACAATCTCTTAAAGGTTAAGTAAACTTCTTAAGAGTTTTATTAATAAAATTCGGTTCCCCTGATGTGATTTGACATTTTGCTACCATTCCTTCTTCTTCTGTTTTGTCTATAGAATTTATAATTATTTTATTTAGAATTAATTTATCTTTAGAAAGTAGTGATTGTCAGCTGCATTCATTAGCATTTCGCGTTTTCTTCTATATCTATTACTTGCATATTAATAATTTCATTAAATAATATTTAAAAGTATTAAAACTTCATTTCTATTAAATTTTATTCATTTGTAAATCCTTGGATCCGCTCCTGCAGGTGCGCGAAAGCCTCATCACTACTGTAAACAAATTATTCATCACGCCGAAAATGTTCATGATTCCGCTAAACTAAGAAAGTTTACACATAGTTTTTCATCTCATAAACAACCATCAGCCCTGTCCAATGCAGAAATGCTCGAATTGAAGGGGAAATTTCAGGAATTGTTTTGCGTCAGCCATGTTTTGACGTGAACCTTACACCGCATTCTGTTATATTCTTAATATTATTGTATAGACGAAATTTGGTAAAGGACTATGTCCGCTCCATTTCTCCAGAACAGCTTAAGATATGAAAGTTAACTTTGTCAGATATCATAGATAATGACTTGTAGATGTCACCATGAATATTCTTTCCGTCGTCAATACTTCCGGTCGTCACAGAAATTGGATTAAAAAGTCGATTTTTTCTATTTCTTCGTCTTTCGAACTTCTTTTTTCTGTAATATTCATAGGGTATGTAAAGACCCCTCTTTGAAGATTTTACGTATTACCAGTTTCTTGATAGGATTAAGAAGGAATTAAATATCTTTAAATATCTTAGAATTTCCGAAAACGTAGGACCAACGTTTCTTAAACACTACAAAATATTGATTTTTCCCCCGTATATATAGTTTGCGGGGACTGCTCAGTGCTTATTCAGGTAGGAAGTGGTGTAGAGTTAACACCTTCCAGGTGATTGGGATAGGCCAGAAAAACCTTCCCGTTGCCATGGAAACGAGTTTATATTAAATAAAAACGGTTGTATATGATATGTGGGTGCATTTTATTCGCCCCTATTTTATGTCAACTGTAGAAGACATTGCCATCTTTAACCCCCCCCCCTTTTTCTCTTTTTCGCTTTTATGTTTTGCATTCTTTATAAAATGACCTTGACTTTCATATCACAAGCAACTCTTCTTGACGTTTTCAAAATTATAAGCCTTAATTCTTTCTACAAAATAATGCTAATTTACATGTTTATGTTCAAGATCCCCCCCCCCCCTTCCTCGAAGCAACCAGGTAGAATACACAGATATAAAATTCACAACTTATAAGGAACTTCTTAAGAGTTTTATTAATAAAATTCGGTTCCCCTGATGTGATTTGACATTTTGCTACCATTCCTTCTTCTTCTGTTTTGTCTATAGAATTTATAATTATTTTATTTAGAATTAATTTATCTTTAGAAAGTAGTGATTGTCAGCTGCATTCATTAGCATTTCGCGTTTTCTTCTATATCTATTACTTGCATATTAATAATTTCATTAAATAATATTTAAAAGTATTAAAACTTCATTTCTATTAAATTTTATTCATTTGTAAATCCTTGGATCCGCTCCTGCAGGTGCGCGAAAGCCTCATCACTACTGTAAACAAATTATTCATCACGCCGAAAATGTTCATGATTCCGCTAAACTAAGAAAGTTTACACATAGTTTTTCATCTCATAAACAACCATCAGCCCTGTCCAATGCAGAAATGCTCGAATTGAAGGGGAAATTTCAGGAATTGTTTTGCGTCAGCCATGTTTTGACGTGAACCTTACACCGCATTCTGTTATATTCTTAATATTATTGTATAGACGAAATTTGGTAAAGGACTATGTCCGCTCCATTTCTCCAGAACAGCTTAAGATATGAAAGTTAACTTTGTCAGATATCATAGATAATGACTTGTAGATGTCACCATGAATATTCTTTCCGTCGTCAATACTTCCGGTCGTCACAGAAATTGGATTAAAAAGTCGATTTTTTCTATTTCTTCGTCTTTCGAACTTCTTCGATAATCTATGTCGAAGCCTTTGTGGCCACGTATGTTCTACATGTGAAGGTCAAGATGACCGCACTGCTGTAACAGCGGAAGTGATAAAACATTTTGGACAGCTGAAGCCAGTCCTAGTCTATCTAAAGTGTACAAGGTTTCAGTGTTTTCTGATATAGATCATTAAATCCATAATGTAGATATAATAATAATGATTTATCATTATTTTCTTAAAATTAAATAAATATATATATGTGATAATATACATGTATATACCAATATGTAAAAATTAAATAATAATAAAAAAAGGGGGGGGGGGAAGGAGCATGTATTAGATCGAAGTATACAATTTGAAAAAAAAAAAAAAAAAAATATGTGACTTAGTATGATATGATGGTCCAGTACTGAAATTAATATAAACTATGCTTCTTGTTGATAATCAAGATATTCTTCTTACTATTTGCAATATTTATTTAATTTAATTATTTATTTATGTTTATTATTTATTTATATATTGATTTTTTTATTTTTATTTTTCCTCTCTGGGATCAACACAAGTTGTTTGTGTTTCCTGAGGACAATATGGTTCAAAACTCCTCTAACCAGGTTTTCCTCATTTGGATCAACACAAGTGGTGTGTGTTTCCCGAGGACAATATTGTATTAAAACTTCTCTAACGAGGTTTTCCTCACTGGGGTCAACACATGTTGTTTGTGTTTCCCGAGGACAACATTGTATTAAAACTCCTCTAACGAGGTTTTCCTCAATGGGATCAACACAAGTTGTTTGTGTTTTCTGAGGACAAGATATAAAACATTATATTGCGAGATTTTATTCTTTGAATTTAAACATTATTTAAGAGGAGACTGTCGTATTAGGAAAACTCTGGAGATACAAATGACATTAAACTATACATATTTATCATTATAAACCAGCTAATTTTAACATAATAATTAAAAAAAAAAATAATGATAAAAATAATATGAATGCAAAAGTACCCTATTTGAGCAACTAATTTAACCTGAAATTCCATTAAAAAGTGTTAGACAAGGTTATAAGAAACTTATGAATTTATTTTATTTATATATATAGTTTACTTTACAGATCCGGAAAAAAATATTATCTTATCATATCTCTTTTAGTTCTTATTGACCGGATGACGCAAATTAGCTCTAGCATAAAGTAATTCTTTTTACAGCATCACTTAAGAATTAGAAGTATATATTTTCAGCATATATACCATGCCT